CAGATCCAAGTCTCTAGTCTGGGGTAGTGCAGTTACTCTTGTCCTGTTATGCCAGTTGAGAGTTATGACAAGATTACATGCAGAAATAAGGCAGCTTCTGTCTCATAGCAACAGCTTGCTCCGTGAAGTGGGTGCCTCCTGTGTCTTTTACAGACAGGCTTTATGGAAAAGAGGCGAATTGAGCGATAACCTCCGTGTTTCTAGCGTTAACAAAAAGTGTTTATCCAGTTATTTAAGCTATTTAGGAACAATATGGTTAGCAAACTGTTTAATGGAGGATGATTAATGTATGGAAACCACATTGTCCAGCTGAAATTTGTTTATTGCACTAGAATGTCAATATTATTATCCACTATTATCTTGAAGTGGTAGTATTTCCGTCTTCAGACAATGCAGCATCACTAGAATACCAACGAGGCAGATGCAGTTGGGAGGTGGGGGACTTTTGAAGCTTGTAACAGCTCCTTATATAAACCTGCATGTAAGATTCACTTCGTATCTGTTATTTTGGGAAATAATGAATGAAGTTTTGGTGTGTGTTACTCAAAATACGTGATTTTTTCTCTTTGCTATTTCAAGTGTCTTTATCCACATAAGAAAGAATAATAAAAAACCCTGTGGAATGTGAAAACAGATCTTATATAGTAGATACAAGGATGGGATTCATCATCTCCAGGTGGGAAAAGAATCTGTTTGAAATTATGCATAGTATTTCAAGTATTTAGGGTCTAAAGTGGGTTTTATTTATTATTTTTAAGTTCAGTCTTTACTCTAGTTTTAGTAACAAAATGCTCCTCTGCTTCTTAAACTTAAGCTGTGAAGATACAGACAGGAAGCCAGTTGCCCGAATACTTCTTTGTAGCAACAGAGTTGGGTACTTGTAGGTATCTTAAGGGCTCAGTTACTTAAAGCTCAGCCCCAGTTTGACCTGTCAATGCTTTAAAACTCTGGCTGGAAAAAGTTAAACTATTCAATGTTTGGTCAAAAAGGATGACAGTAAAATCCCAGTATGCATCAAATCAGTTGTTGCAGTTGTGACAAACCTGTCTGTCTGTGTGGAGGCAGGATGGAAACACCCTTGGGACCAGCCAACTGCCAGGAGGAGAGATGAGGGCTGGGGACAGAACCCCTGTGAACCTGGAGGAGGGTGGCTGTGAGCAAGGGCTATGTGCTGCTTCATAGCCCAGGTCTCTGGGCTAATATGTTTGGCCAGAAATTCACCTGAGGCGGCAGAGGTTTTTGCTTTATAGATTTTTACCTTGGTGTGTTAAAAAAAATAAATAAAAAATGTGTAGGGCAGGTGGTGGGTGCTTGCTGTTCATTACCAAATAACAAGAGGCCAAGAGACAAATGTGCCAAGCCCTAATGAGACAGATCCACAGGGAGACAAAAGGATCAGTGACCACCTTGAACTGATTTGAAATAGTATTTCTGGAGATCTGTGCATTTGGGAGGATTGAATGGGAAGGGGAGGGTAGAGAGGAAGCATCTGAATTATTTGGGGTTTTCTGTTGCTTTCTCTTCAGTAGCTTTGGCTGTTCCACAGTGCTGGCTTACTTAATGATTCATACTCATTGCTAATTTATATTCTCTACAAAAGCCTCTTATGCTAAATATCTTGAATCCTAGTCACCCTCTGACATATTTTATTGCATTTCTGATCTGGAGGACAGATAATATTATTTGTGCCCGTGGTTGTTATTGCATGCATATCTCCCAGCCTGATCTGGAGGTGAGAATCAAAGTTGTTTGGAAATAGCACCTGGCTGCTGCAGGAACTTTGTGATAATGAATTTTGCAAAAGAAACCCAAATTTTAATATCTGAAGGCTGAACTGAAAATTTGAGCCCAGTCTTATCTACCAGTGTAATTTTAAATCTTCTCAGACTTGTTTACCATAATTGCTAGCTCTGGTGCAAAAGGCCTTTCAGTGCTTGGTCCTCTGCCTCCAAGTCCTGTACTAGGGCTGCTAGTGTTAACCCTCTGCCACCTGGCAGTAGCAAACACCTGCAAATGAAGAGAATGGTTAGATAAAACACCAACCCGCAAACCTCTGCAGACAGCATGGCTCCTGAATCCCGTGGAAACTTCCAGATATTTCTATTGCATGATCTCATCCTGAACTGGGGTTTCTTCATGTGTGCGTGGTGCAAGTGATGAGCCTGGCACTGGGGAGGAGATGGTGGAGCGCTGACTGGCAGGCTAAGTGTGGTTTGAATCGCTCAGCTGCTCCTACAGCCCTCTTCAGTCCAGCCTGCTGCTCAGCAATTGCTCTGAGGTATCAAAATATGCTCTGCAGCCACTGTTTGAGCCACCCTCTAGCCAAACTCAGCAGTTTTAAAGCCTCTGAGGGTCTCTTGTGATGCTTACCAGCTGTGGAAGGCGGTGGGGTTTTTTTTTTTTGCTTACTGCTTTAGTGCCTCTGTGCTCTTAGCCCGCAACCTGACTGAAAGGACAGAGAGAAGGGATGATAAAGCTCAGTCAGTGAATTAATTTTCAAAAACACATCTTTCAGAATGCTACCTGTCCGCGTAACCTTCGCCATTTTGGAAATATTTATTTACAATCTCCCTGAATTGCCACTTCAATTTTTTGAAGGTTTCCACTCTAATTTTGTTCTACCCATAGTGAAACATCAGCTCCTGCAAGACAACAGTTTGCTCTTAGATGCTTCCATGGTTGCTTTAGACAAGATTTGGTGTGTTTGAAATGAGGTGTTGATATATGCAGTAAGGATAATTATGAACATAAGTGGTAAGAAAACAACATATTTGGTCTAAATATGAAGATTTAAAAATCCTTATTGGATGAAGTAGAATTTTGTTGTTGCTTTATTTTCCATGCCTGCATATATCTATCTTGTGATAACTTACAATGAAACATAGGACACTAGTTTTGTTTTTGTAAGTAGCATCTAGCACATAGTGAGAACTGCTTTCTGTTACAGTGGTCCAGCTAGCAGCAATTAAGAAAACTTCCTGAGTTTCCCACCCTGGTTCCCCCTCCCAATGTCCATACTTTTAGTTGTGTTGGCTATTCCAAATGAGATACCGTTTGTGTTATAGGCCAAACAAACCTTTCTATTGTAAAATTTTCTCTACTTCATCTTCCCTGTCATCTTACAAACATTTTTTTTTAAATTAGGCTAGTATTGGTAACTTGTGTCAATGATGAAAGGCTTTCCAAACTACTTAATGTCTGGGCTGCATCAAGAGAAGTGTGTCCAGCAGGTCATGGGAGGTGATTCTGCCCCTCTACTCTGCACTCGTGAGACCCCACCTGGAGTGCTGTGTCCAGCTTTGGAGTCCTCAACACAAGAAGGACATGGAGCTGTCGGAACAGGTCCAGCAGAGGGCCACGGAGATGATCAGAGGGATGGAGCCACCTCCCCTATGAGGACAGGCTGAGAGACTTGGGGTTGTTCAGCCTGGAGAAGAGAAGGCTCTGGGGAGATCTCATAGGAGTCTTCCAATATCTGAAGGGAGCCTACAGGGGAGTCAGAGAGGGACTCTGTCAGGAAGTGAATTGACAGGACAAGGGGTAATGGTTTTAAATTGGAAGAGGGGAGATTTAGATTAGATCTCAGGAAGAAATTTTTTACTATGAGGGTGGTGAAGCACTGGAACAGGTTGCCCAGAGAAGCTGTGGATGCCCCATCCCTGGAGGTGTTCAAGGCCAGGCTGGATGGGGCTTTGAGCAACCTGGTCTGGTGGGAGGTGTCCCTGCCCATGGCAGGGGGGCTGGAACTCTATCTCTAAGGTCTCTTCCAGCTCTGACCATTCTATGATTCTATGATGATTTTCATCATCAGTAATTTTAAACGACCCATTAATGTGCCAAACGGTCATTGCCACAGAGACCAGCTTCAGGGTGGGTAAGACTGCTCTGGGGAAGGGATCTGCAGAAAAAAAGGGCCGATGAGAAGCTCTTTTGGGGGGCTTTTTGAAGTTGGGACAAGTCCTCTGCTTGTCCTGGGGCTGACAGCTGATGGGTGGTGCGGCTGAGGGAGCCTGGGTAGGGCCACCACCCCTCCAGGTTGATCAAGCCACTGGGTTATAAGAGGCCTTGGGAGGAGTAGTCCCTGTGCACAGAGTGGGCACCCAGTGCTTGTGTGTGTGACCCAGAGGGTGCCTCAGGAGGCTGCAGTCTGTACGGCAGGGCGCTGAGCCTCTACTGGGGTATGAGGTAAGGTCAAGCCCTCCAAGTGGCCAGAGGACTAGCGGGCTCATCCCAACTCGAGTAGCAAGGTGTCAGTTGCTTGCAGAGATCCAGCCATGGTTGCTCCCTGGTGGAAGGCTGTTGTTAGAAAAGCTGGGGGCACCCAGGCAGAGGCCCCAGGCAAACACACGGGCGTCCAGGCCTCTGGCTGCAGAGAGTGACTGGGGTATGAGGTAAGGTCAAGCCCTCCAAGTGGCCAGAGGACTAGCGGGCTCATCCCAACTCGAGTAGCAAGGTGTCAGTTGCTTGCAGAGATCCAGCCATGGTTGCTCCCTGGTGGAAGGCTGTTGTTAGAAAAGCTGGGGGCACCCAGGCAGAGGCCCCAGGCAAACACACGGGCGTCCAGGCCTCTGGCTGCAGAGAGTGCCGGAGCCTAGCACTTGCAGTGGAGGGTAGTGGAGACCACACCTGTGTCAGATGTGAACAGGTGAATGACCTGCTCATCCTGGTGGCCCAGCTGAAGGATGAAGTGGAGAAGTTGAGGAGCATCAGGGAGTGCAAGAGAGAGTGGCTGATAGGCCTGTTCCCTGAGAGTAAGGGAACAGGTTGAGGCCACACATAAATCGGAGGACCCCCTCCCCTCATGTCACCATGCAGTAGGAGGAGATCTCAGAGAAGAAGGGGAATGGAAACAGTTGAGGAGCATCAGGGAGTGCAAGAGAGAGTGGCTGATAGGCCTGTTCCCTGAGAGTAAGGGAACAGGTTGAGGCCACACATAAATCGGAGGACCCCCTCCCCTCATGTCACCATGCAGTAGGAGGAGATCTCAGAGAAGAAGGGGAATGGAAACAGGTCCCTGCTCGGGGAAGCAGGTGAGTCCCTTCCCAGTTACCCTTGCAGAACAGGTAGGAGGAACTGGCTGTTGGAGAGGAGGAAAGAATACCCAGGCTAGAGAAGTCAGAAAGAACAAGTCACCGTAGACCCAGCATTGCTACAAGCTCTACAAGGAAAAGCAAATGGGTCATTGTTGTGGGTGACTCTCTACCGGGGCGGGCAGAGGGACCAATATGCCACCCTGACCCACTTCCCAGGGAAGCCTGCTGCCTCCCTGGGGCACAGGTCAGGCATGTTGGACAAACTTCCAGCCCTAGTAAACCCCTCTGATTATTACCCCCTTCTAGTATTTCAGCTGGGTAGTGATGAAGTGGGTAGAAGGAGGCCAAAATCAATTAATAGAGATTTTAGAGCTTTGGGATGGCTGCTTAAGGGATCAGGAATGCAAGTTGTGTTCTCCTCTATCCCTTCAGTGGCAACCATGAATAAGGAAATTCATAAGAAGAGGCAACATGTCAACTCATGGCTCTGAGACTGGTGTTACTGGCAAGGCTTTGGGTTTTTTGAGCATAGGCAACCGTACAAGACACCTGGCCTGCTTAACCAACTTGATCTCTTTCTGTGACCATGTGGCCCACCTTCTCAATGCAGGGAAGGCTGTGGATGTTGTCTACCTGGACTTTGTTTTTGTGTTTGTTTGGGTTTTGGGTTTTTTTGGTTGGACTTGATCTCAAAGGTCCCTTCCAATCATTAATATTCTGTGATTTTTTTCATTCAATGCAACTGTGTGCCCAAATACCTGTTTGGTGGAGGTATGTTAAATTGCAGAAGCAGGTGATATGGTTCATTTGTGCATGCATTCAGTTTATTTAAAAATTGTAATAAGTGGATGAAGCTTTATAAAATTTGTATAACTCTCAGGAAGCATTTCAAAGAAATTGCTATTATGAAACTAAAATTCATAAGCAGTCTTAAAAAAAAAATAAAATCCCACAAAAAGTAATACTTATACTTCTGGGATTAGCTAGATAGGCACTCCCTATATCCTAACCACAGCAGCGTTAGTGGATTTGGAAGCTGCAGAAGAGGTCTTATGACTTTCAGCAGGTTTTCAAGAAGGCCATTGCAGTTACAGTAACATTAATAAGGCTATGATAAGTGAGGTTAGGAAGGAAATGTGATAGCTCTTATTAGGGCAAATGAGAAAGTGGTGAAAAGAAAACAAGCTTCCCAAGACCCAAGCCTTTACTCAAGTCTGAAACCAAAGCATTAATTTTAAGCAGCTACTGACTCTGAACAGTTGTCTTGTTTAATTTTAATGTCATCTCTTAGCATCCAGTCATGCTGCAGTAGGAGTACTGGGGGGTCTTCTATCTGCAAACAATCAAGATATTTGTAGCATCTGGCAAATATTTCTTACTGGTCTGGCAAAACAAGGAGCTGTGCCATATACTGTATTGTAGAGTGCCTTTATGTGGCATTTAATTTGTTGACAGCATTGGCTGAACACCCACATAAATTTTCTTAAAAAAAAATAATGTAAATTTATTAAGGTGCATTCATGTCATAAGAAAATTGTGACAATATACTTAAGAAGTTTTCAGCAGAGTTTATTTTGGCTTCTGTTACACTTTTTATGATGTCTGTCAATGAAGCAGATAACCTACATTATGCTTAGGCGCTTAGTTAAGTGGGGAACCCCAGGTTTAGTTTGAATAGAGACTTTAAAAAGTATCTTAAAAATGTCTAGGAAAAAAAGGTCTCTAAAAATTTAAAAATGAAATTTTAGGATCCAGCAGAAAACATTCTTGCTTGAGCAAGAGAGCAAGTTGTAGTCCATCTTCTGGTTTTTGTAGAGATAACAAGGAGAGATCTTTGGATTCCAGTGGTTCATATCTCTGGCACAAATAAATGTAACTTATTAAACTAAAAAATGCCAATAAGCCCATTACTAGGTTTTCCAAGCTGTAACACAGTAATCTGCAAAAAAAAAAACCAAACCTACAGAAAAAAATGGATTTAGTGCAACATTGGAAGCACCTTACCAAGCACTTTGGTCCATTTGATTTAAAAATGAAAAAAAGTGTCTGGTACTGTGCCTGCAACTTCATGTGTGGCAAAGTATAGGTGCAACTGTAGTATGGTTGTTTCACAGGTGCAGACTGTACTCTTATGTTTTAACAGGTTGAATAGAAGCTCCTTGGAAAATGTGGTTCAATCCTTTTATAGCCTTTGTTTAACACATTATGTTAAATGTATTTGTGACTGTCCGTATGGCAGTGATAAATGGCTTATTGGATCAGAGGTCTGGGATAAATCAATAAGGAAACTTCTCCCTCAGCATGCTTATATCTGCTGATATCTGGAGGGATAGTATTGAATATCAGAGATGAAGGAAAGAACTTCCTAACTACTGGCAAACTGCTGTTTTTATCAGATAGGCAGGCAACAGTCTTGGAGGAATTAAAAAAATAAAACTAGTTTTAAACAATTTAGATGTAAAGTAGATCAGGAATCGCTTCATGTAACATCTATTAAAGAGTAAGACCCTCTTGCATATTTCAAAAAGCAGAAGTTTGGTGTAGCTAACGGAGTCTGGAAAGCTGCTCATCCAAGCAACTTCTTGTGTCAGCACCTCTTTCTGCACTCAGTAATATGAATAATTTAGTTCTTTGGTAATGTCAGTAAGAACTGTTTACAAAGCTTCCTTTACATTAACTTTTGAGTCTTTATATATGGACTTACCCTCCACATCCAAAAAAAATGTCTGTAGAGCCAAAGTCCTTCCTTAATGACAGCACTCCATAGCAGTGCAGGAGTCGCAGAGAAAGAAGCGCAGTGGTGGTGAGATGAAGTCCAGTTCACATGTTTATTCCCTGAAGTGCTGATGGTAGTGGAGGAGCTGTGGCTTCTCTCATAGCAGCTCAGGTTTTCTTCTGCACATTGCTATTCTGAATTGCTTGTGGATTATATGTTGCTGTATACTTTTAGGGTGGTTTTATGTGGTTCACAGTGATGGAATGCCACTATAATTTTTGTGAAAGATTCAGTGCAAGGTGTTGTTAGGGATTAAAGAGTATCAGCTGCCTGGCAAAAGTAGGGATATTTAATCTCATGTTTGCACTTTCCAGCTTTGAAACAGTTATAAATCTTTCCTGACTATACTCATCTGGGTAAAAAAATGTTACCAAATCCCATGTCTTGGTGCAGGAAAGGGTGATGAGTAGTAAGAGGGGGAAAAAACAAGCAGCTTTGTATTAAGGGGTGAGAATCTTGCTCAGATCTGAGTCGATGAATATTGCTTAGGGGAACAGACATGGTGGCAATGAAGCTTTCCATGGTCCTAAGCCAGAGGAGCTATGTATCTACATTGTAGTCTTCAAGCTGTGGGAAATGTGATGCCTGCCTTGAGCAGGGTTGTTTTATTGAGTAAACCTAGGTAGCCTGTGGAGATGATGTCAGTTCATCTGTCTTCTATATTCTTCTTGCCAGCATGTGAGGTTCAGGTAATTCTGCATCTGAGGCATAATACACCTTGAAAGCCTGTTGAATCCAAGTATGTTGCATGGTCAGAAGGCAGTAAGTTCTCACTCCCCAGGGTTATGAATGAAACATGATAAATGTAGTTAAAAGGATCACTTATTTGCAGACTAAACTAGCAGTGATCCCCTCTAAATAAAATGTAGGCTGGAGGCCACAAAGGTTCTCAATTTCCTACTCTGAGATTCCCAAACATGGTTCATCTTTGCCTCTGAGAACACTCAATTCTCTTCTGAGTTGAGGGTGGCTGAACTGAAGGAAAGCAGGAAAATGGAGGGCCTCAGTGACACTGCTGTCACAGGGCAGGTTCACTTTTAGCTGAGCAATGCTGATGTTGCTGAGGGAAGGGGAAACGAAGCAAAGAAGCTCACCGAGGAGCATGTCAGGGACTAAGGATGGCAGTCCCATCTCCCAGTCTAATAGCAGGAGGGCAATGACATGCTGGTGAAGAAACTGAGTGTAATTACGTGTGCTCCTTGTAACATGTCCTATTGCACCAAAAATGTCTTCCCAGGCCTTTTGAAGTAGGAGGGAATATTAAATTATGAGGAATATATTAAAAACGGGTTCTGTTATTCAAGGAAAGATTACCTGGTGACTTCCTTGTTGGGTTTTAGGGTGATGGTGGGCTCAAGATGTATTTGGACAGGTTCTTAGGTAGGGAAGGATAGGACCCAGTGGTCAAGGTTTGTTGCCTGTATCTTTGGCACAGTGAACCCAGAGGTTCTGTAGGAAAAACAAACAAACTTAGGCAGTAACTCCCTCTGCAGTGCTCTCTGTAAGGCCTCTTTTGTCCATTAGCAGTAATTAGGCAGGAAATAGAAGAGTGGAACCAAATGGAGTGCTACTTAAACATGCACAGAGGGAAACAAAACCAAAACATGGTATACGTATTTCTGCACTAATACCAGAAACCTAAGAAGTAAAATGTGGAACTAAATGCTTGCCTTTAAAAGAGATTGACATAATATGCATCTCAAATGTGGTAGGAGGATGGTAAATGCTGGGATAATGGAGTATCAAAGTACGAAGACAGAGCTGACAGAGAAACTGTGCTGTATGCTAAAGCTTAAAGTCAAGTCGGATCAGCAGCCTGCCATAAGTAGAGTAAAATCCCAGTAAGTTTAGGTATAGAAAAGAAAAATACAGCAGTAGGACTGTATTACTGCCATCAGTGTGGTTATACCACCAGTGCTATGGAGGAAGAAGGGAGAGACTATAGAGGGATAAAGTACAACAGCTGTGTTGTACCTCATCCCATGTACCTTTAATGTCTGTCTGGATTGGGTACCGGTCATATTGGTATGGAATACTGAAGCTAAACTTTAGACACTGTCAGTGGCAGCTTCATGGGGCAACTGGTGAGGGGATTTATGAGAGAACAGGCAGCATCTGGTCCCTGAGCATGTTTCAAAATGTCACGATAGAAAAGATGCTCTGGAGTAGTAACTACAGGGTATGTAAATTCAGCATCTCTGCAGGGCAACAAAAGCCAGAG